ACTGTTTTCCACAGTGGCTGCACCAAACTGTCATTACCTCTTAAAAAAGCCAGTGCTTCAAGGATCTGACAGCTTTTGACTCATGAAATGAAATAGAATGGTAGGTCTTTGCCATGGGTTACCCCTAAAAAATCAGAGTCAGAGCTTCTGAAATTGGGAAGGGGAAATTGTTGACATAGATAACTTTCCTTTTCTTTTTTAATTGTTTACAAAATTATTTTTATGGAGGTACTGGAGATTGAACCCAGGACCTCATGCATGCTAACATGCTCTGCCACCCAGCTGTGCCCGCCCCCCGTAGCTGTCTTCATAGGGTCCTAAGAAGCACACTTTTGAAGCAGGGCCCCTTCTCAGCAATTATGACGAGAGAGAAAACAAATTTGAAGGCACTTACCGGGTCCCCCCCGGAGGCGAAGGAGATGGACTGCATGTGGTGATTGGCTATGATCTGCCAAGGCCAAGACAAGAAACGAGACATGCTGTTATTAACCTTCCCATGTCTTGGAAAACCAACTGTTTGTTGGCAGGCAATACGACTCGACAAGGTTCCCTGAAAATTGGTAGCATTGGTACCCGATGAAAGTAACAATTATAAATGCAACAGCAGTTGCTAACCTTGAACGAAACATCACAACCTGTCAGCTGCTCACCGAGCTGCTTTGCCAGAATTCTCTCATGTAAGTTCACCACAGCCCTGGGACGTAGGAAATATTGTAATCCCACTTCACAGATGTGGAGCCTGAGGCCCCGAGGGGATAAGCAGCTGGCTGAGAGATCTCCAGCTACAACGAGACAGGGGGTCTACAACCAGGTCTCCTCGAGAAGGCGAACATCTCACCCCAAACATTTCAGCTGTGCGGTTTCTGTCTCCAAAGACATACGGGATCTTCAGTGCAGACCCCATAGCCGGTGTGGAGGGCAGGGTGGCGGTCCCCTTCTTCATCTCATTTGTATCAGGTGCACATAAATTAGAAAGCCTGCATCTGAGACGAAAATCAGTGCCATCTCGGGGACTCTGGTAACTTATCAATTTAAAAAGCAGCGAGGATGTTCTGAGTTCACCTTAAAATGGGAGCGTTCCATTAGCATCATACGCTGCGGCGTACAGCGGGCTTCAGGAGACACTGAGTAAGCTGGAAGCTGCCCTAAATTTAAGAGAAGCCACAGAAGTCCTCCCTGCTGTTTTTGTCTTTTAAAGGCAATGTAATGGCACTGAAGCAAACTTCCAGGGGCGGAACAGCACTCTTGCTTGGGTCCCAGCACACCGGGCTCATTTCCGCACAGGCCCCCGGGCCCTTGCCGGCAGGCAGGCAGCATTCGCAGAGCCGGAATCCCAGAGGTTTTTCCAACCATGCTCCAGTAAAACTCAAAGCAAAACCATCACTGAACTATAAGATAAAATCAGATATTTTTAAATGTCTGCTTCAGTTCTCGGCATTTCCAAAACTACTCAGGAGCTAGAAAAACCTCCGTGTAGAAATGACCAAAAGCGAGCCCCGCCCTGCCGCCTGTGCCCGAAGCCGCTGACTCAGCCGCACAGCTGCCCGCCGCAGCTTTCTGACTTGCCTCTCGTCCAGGGGTAGAGGGCTCCCCGGGGAGCAATGAGGACACAGAAGTCCCCAAATGCTGACCACCTATGACTTCTGAAGTTGTTCGTTTTTGCTTATTTAATTTTTTTTCGCTTATTTAATTTTTGCTTCTAAAGCAGCTTGAAAACTGGGGTTTTGGAAATTAAAGTGAACGTGAAGATTTAAGAAAAAAAAAGTGGAAATTCTATTTGGTCAACACGACCATTCCTGTACGATGGTACGGTGTCCTTTAGGGAAAGACAGAGACTGGAAAGGAGAGTCAGAGAACGAGAGCTGATTGACTAACGGACGCGCCTTGCTCTGAGGGTGTTCTGTCCTGTTTGCTCCCGGGAGGGCTGTCGAGGGGAGCCAGCACTGCCCTTCTGCTGTCCCTCCGGGTTGGGAAGGGGCTGCCCCCTCGGGCTCAGTCACAGTTTGCATCGCTCAGCCAGACAGGAGGGGCTGGGCGACGGGAGCGCTGGCTCCTGCCAACCCTTCCTCACCTTCTGCCCACGTCACCCGAGCTGGCCTGCGCCAGCCCCTGAGCCCAGCGCTCACCCCGCCCACCTAGAGGCCACCTGGACACCCCCAGCCAGCCCCCAGGCCCCGGACGGGGGTGGCCTCATCCTTCCTACTCTGAGAGTCGGCCTCTCCTTCTTTATTTTTTTAAATTGTTTTTCTTTTTTCTTTTTTTTTTTAAGGAGGGGAGTGAGTTAGAAGGAGGAATTAGAAGATAAGAACTCACAGAACCGAGGACCACGGTCCGAGGATTCCTAGAAACAAGGTGCAACGGCCACATGGGATAAAAGTGGACGTGGGCGTGTGGGTGCAGCACCCGGGAGTGGGGGGCAGCCTCATCAGCTACCACGCGGCAGCGGGCGAGCCCCGAGCCGGCGGCAGCTCCGGAGAAAGGCGGAGCCAGGTGGAAGTTCTCAGCCCACCACCTGCACGACTGGGCTCCCATCCCTCAGAGAGGCCGACGAGAGGAGACAAGGGGCTAGCCGTCAGGGCGGTGAGGACGAAGGAGTGGAGCGGGAAGTGGCACCACGGCGTCACAGTGCAGCCCGGGCGCTGCCTCCCATGTCTAGGCTGGATCTAGAATTCGTTTCAGTACCTTGGGCCTCGCAGGGGGCTGGGGGTGTCCTGTTGCTCCTAAACGAAGCCGGGGTGCTGCTCGCTTATCCGGGGAGCATGGGAATCAATAAACAGGAATACGCACAGCAACGTGCAGGAGCCCTGGGCGTCCCTGCTAGCACACTGCCGGAGTGGAGAAGCGTGTCACCCGGAGGTCTGTGAACTGCCCATCCTTCGCCGTGCAGACAGATCTGAATCCCCACCTACGCTGCCAGCCACAGGGGCCCAGAGTGAGCAGAGCAGGTGAGGGCGGGCTCCACCCACAGCCCACCTCTGTGGTTTAGGAGCATTTTCGTCTCCTTTGCCTCCTTTGGCCGACGGAACTGCTCTGTGGCTACCAGAACAGCTACTCATACGTCCATTTTTCCAGCTGAAGGAACTAACGATCAAAGAAGACTACGAGGTGGGCAGTGCAGAGGAACCCAGCCATCTTAGCACAGTCTGTCTCAATGAGCTTCGTCGCCGGGCCACCTCCGTCAGCCAGGCACCCCACCACGCTGCATGTGCCGCGGGCGCACCACGTCACGCCAACCCTACGACACGACCAACCGTGCGAGGCCCCCAGATTCTGACCCGCTAAGAAATAAAAAAGTCTGCCACTCAAACCGCAGCATGCCACCATCTCGAAGATGCTAAATGTGAAAATAAAACGTGGGCTGTAGAACCAACAGAAGATCATGTGAAAGAAAACAAAATGGGGCAAGGGCACCGACAGGAGACGTGTGCGCACGCATACACCGCTCCTTACGTTGTAAGTAAACCGGTGATTCCATGCCTTCTCCTCAGAAAAACCCAAAAAAGGTAATAAGTGAGAGCAGAATTCAAGAGACTAAATTCCGCTGGCGACCTTCGGAAGCGGCCGGGGTTTGCAGACTGGCGAAGGCTTTACACGAACGCGCTGGGCGGGGGCCGGGAAGGCTGGAGGGGGGGAGGCCCGTGAAAGGCAAGGCCGGGGCTCTGGGCGGGGCGGCCCCACAGACCTGCTTCGAGTCCGGCGTCCGCAGGCTCAGGCTGGCGGTGGATATGGTCAGGGAGATGCTCGTCCCCGCGAACTGCAGGTTCCTCTTGCCCAGGATGCTGGACAGCATTTTGCTCGGAGGCTGTGAAATGAAATCAAGCAGCAATGTCATTTTAGCCTTCTGTTCACGGGAGGCCGCGCTGTCAGGGCCTCTACGCCGGTGCGTCTGCCACACCTCCAACCCTCTCTCATCGGGCACGCGAAGGTAACGTGCCAGGAATGAGCTGGGTTGGGGGGGTGGGGAGCGGCCTGATATTAACAGGCAAATTCCAGAGCTCGCAAAATGCAAACTGTAAAGCATCTGAGATGCTCACACTGAGATGAGGACCCTCGCGGGGAAGTCAGAGATGGCGACACACCAAGCAGCTTACGCTGGGATGCGTCTCGCGGGTCCCTCGTGAGTCCCGGGAAGGCACCACAGGCCGGGCCCGCAGCGCTGGGGTCTCAGAAGCCGGCTTCCTCCCACCAGGAGTCAAACTACTCAGGACCAGGCTGAAACGGACCAGCTCATGGGCGGGTGGGCGAGCCCGCAGAGTTGTGAGAACCCTCGTTGCTGAAGGGAGCAGAGCTAATCCTTTGGCCGGGACATCCTCCCAGGCCCGTGCTCCCACAGATGGTCCAATTAGAACCGATGGGCTGGGAGCCAGCACAAGGGTAGACAGACTCGGTTCCGCTCCAACCGGTACATCAGTCAGCCCTTCAGAGCGGTCCTTGGCACCGGGACCGGCAGGCTGCCCCACCCTTCCCTTTCGGGTTAGAACATGCCTTCTTTTGAGAGGCCGGTTAACACCAGCTCTTAACCAGGCAGGCGCTGTGTAAAAATCTCCCCGCCCCGGAGGTTCTGGTTAAGCACACCAGTGGTGGAGCCCCGAAACTGCCATTGCTTCCACCACCTCCACCCAGGGGACCGTGAGGAAGCCTGGGACTCGCTTGTCGGGCGGCACGTGGCTATGAAAGAGGAGGTTCCCTGTCTCTGTTCTCAGACGCCCTCCTAGTTCCCGTGGCCCTGGTTCTCTGTGTCCCCTGTGGGTTGACAGGAACACAGGCCAGCTCGCCCGAGCCTTCGTCCAAAACTCTCTGCCTGAAACCCCGTTGCTCTGTGGGTTCACAGGTGTCCCCAGGCTATGAAGACACAAGCTGACCTGCAGCCCTGGGAGCAGCAGAGGCAACCACACGCTTTGCCCCAAACCTCAGGCTCAGGACAGACCCGGAGATACAGGGACACAGTCCCCGCCGTGCGGTCCAGGCTTAGAAAAGTCGAGACGGTGGGTATTTAATTATACATTTACTAAGACACTTAAGGAAAGGGTGTTTCTGAGCTTTCTTTTAATCCGAGGCTTTTCTTCTGGTCCAACCACCTCCTGGATGAAGAGGCTGAATCCAGGGCTGGAATGTGGGGCCCGTGGAGCCAGGCAGCCTGAGCTCGAGCTCAGCACCGTCACCTTGTTATCCTGTGGGGTCTCATCTCTGTGCCTCAGTTTTCATCATCTGTAAAATGGGGCTATCCGATGGCGTTCTGGAGCTGGCTTGTTCCAGCTAATGAGAAACAGTTATAAAATTTTTAGGAATTTGATGAGCTGCCCATTAAAAACTGCTGCCATTAAAATTTAATTTATGTAAACTTACAATTAAACCAATTACATTTTTAAAAAATGAACAATAAATATTCAAAATTCATCACTTCCTACAGCACGTTTCCTCTCAACTCCATTTTAGGGATGTCCTGTTAAAGCTGGAAATCGACCACGGTCGGAGAAGTTACACCCTAGAAACCGGCAACCATGGCAGATTTTGAGCTTCTCTGTCACCACCGCCAGCCCCAAGAGCCTGTTGTTAAACTTTTACCACTGAGGGTGTCTACCACAAAGAGTGGTTCTAAGGAAGTGAATCAATGCACTGCAGGCAGAGAAGAACGCCTGGCCCTGCTTTGCCTGCCTTTAGGTTTCAGCCCAGGGAGCTTACCTGGGGCTGGCCTTGACAGCTGACGGTCCTCGTCGGCCTCGTGGCCAAGAGGGGATCGAAGCTCTTTCTGGTTTTGAAGGAGACTCAGCCACTGTGAGTCACCCCCT